GAGGATTTTTTTTTAAATCTTACATTTCATTACGTTGTTATATGTGTCTAATTCCTCAGCAAAATCTTCCTCTTCATTAAACCACATTTCTTCCTCCTCTTCCATTTGTCGCTGATCGCGTCTAAAACGACCACCACGTATAATTGGTATACCACCGCTTCTATAATGTTAAAATATTATTAGATTACAAAAACTTACTGTAAAGAATTCAAAGAAGAAAACTTACGAATCGAGCGACATCTTATCGCGATCCTTTATTCTATCCTGATACTGATCATATCGATTCTTTAAGTATTTAAATGTTTGTACATATTCGATTTCATCAAATATTTTACTGAAGTTCTCAACAAAATAAACACATAAAGTTTTTATATCTTCAAGTTTTATAAACTCAAATAATTCCAAAATAGCAGATTCGAGTAAATTATATCTTCCATTATTCCTTATGAAAGCATCAACGACCGGTGCAAACAGATTACCTTTTACAATATGTCTGCAAAATATTTATACAATAAGTTATTATAAATAAATATAAATAAATATAAATAAATATAAATAAATATAAATAAATATAAATAAATATAAATAAATATAAATAAATGCAAAAAATTAACAAATAAAAATTTTATGTATATAAAAAACTACAAAATAATGTAAAAAATATGCATAAATAAAAAACAAAACAAATAAATATAAAAAAAACCAATTAAAAGAAAATATATTAAATAAAAATTAGTATAAAAATAATATGAAAAAACACGAACCAACATATATTAAAATAACATGTCATTATAAAAAAATAAATATAAATATAAAAATAAATATAAAAATAAATATAAAAATTAATATAAAAATAAAAATTAATATAAAAATAAAAATTAATATATAAAGATACAATTCTATAAAAAAATAACATACAATACAAACATTCTATAAAAAAATAAAATAAAAATACGAAAAAATATAATTTAAAATACGTATATAAAATATAAAAATATTACAAAATGTAAACAAATAATTATACAGGCATAAATATGAGCATAAACAAAAAAATTAAAAATGCAAATGTACCTAAAAACAATTTGTATTTGTACAATAAAATACTAATATATAGACAATATACTAATATAGACAATATAAATGAATATGAAATATATATGTGTACAAAATACAAATAAATGTAATATAAAAAAAAAATGCAAATATTTAAATATATAAATGCACAAATAAATATAAAAATAAACATAAATACAAATAAAATTTAAAAACACAAATAAATATTAAAAACACAACACAAATAATTAAAACAAATAAAAAAACAATACAAATAAATAACATAAATATTAAAATATACAAGTAAATACAAGTAAATATATAGAAAGAAATAGTTACATAAATGACTTAAAATGCTTGCCCTAACTTACCTATTGTAAAACTCATCCTTTAGAGCAATTATTTTCCTTAGAAGTCTGAGCGCACCAAGCACAAGGAACGTATGTCTACTCTTCATAAGGACAAGTATCCTTTTAAGGAGATCTTTTTGTATAATAAAATTTTTAATATGATAAGTATGATGCTCAACGCAGAATGACAATATATCTAGGACAATTCCCAGCAGTTGAGCAGTTTGATAGTCATCACTTTGAGGGCGTTCTCCAATTGTGTTTAATAACAATGGTGCTTCAAAGATAAAAATATGTTAATATAAAAAACTAATTAAAAAATATTTATTGCTATTTACCAATTAAAGTTTGTATACTATGCTTATAAAAGAAATTCAGAAAATCTCCTTTTTCAGTTAGCATATTTTCGGGTTCTAATAATATTTTAATTATACCCATTAATTGCACCGCCACACCTAGTTCAGGTTCGGAATCAGTCAACATTTGTTCGATGGCAATGTTAAGAAGCATTCGATCCTAAATTAAACAAAAAATATTTTTAATGCATACTATTTATATGTTTATAATATATACATACTCCTTCAGTGCGATTAACTTGTTGTAGTGTATAATTCCGCACTACAAGGGGAGAAAATTCCACAATAGCTGTCAGTATATCAATAGATGCTGATTTTGTTTTTTGATCGCGCATCATAAGTGTTATCTCGAGCGCTTGTAAAATACCCAAACAAGTTAGAGACTTGTAAAAAGAATCTTTTCCTGGAGGTTGCAAATTTTGTGCATAGTTGCAAAATTCCTTCAGAAATAAAACAATATCTCGACGCTTTGCATCGGTCGTATTGGGATCAGTTAATAGATTAAACATATCAACCAATAATCGCTCATCCTCTTGTATTAACGTAACAATCTCAACTTTATTGAAGAATATAAAACTGGAAAGTGTATTTAACATATTGTCTTCAACGAAAACAGATGGTGTAGGTAGAATTATATCTTGAATATACTGTACTCGGAACGTTTGATGTATTTTAGCGAGCAGATCTTGATTTTTAATCGGAACTGCTTCACGGAACTTAGCCCACTGTTTTAAATACTGACGGTGTTTTTTGGGTTGAGTAGCACTTGGATCATATTCCAAACAACCAACCACATCAAATATAGTGTCTTCGGCAAACATTATTTCAAAGAGGGCATTTTTATTTAATAAAAATATATTTTTAAAAATTTCAAAGAGATGATGTAAACCCTCTGTATTTTCCAAATCTTCACAAACATGAAAGAGATTTAATAATTTCTTTATATAATTCTCTGATTCTAATGCCATAGATAATTTTTCTTTACGCAGTGGTGTGGTTAAACAACTTTGTATAGTTTCAGAAATATCTTCAAGACGTGCAAGTTCACAAGGAGGCAATTCTATTGGCGGTGCAGTGTCAGACATATCTTCAAAACGTTCATCTTCTGATTCTTCAACAATATCTTGTGTAATTTCAACAGATGGATCTTTCCCTTGAACCTGTTAGAAAAGAATAATAGTTATTCTATTATTTTATGTTGATATCAATATATTCTGTGTAAAATTATACGGAATTTATATTTTAAAAATATGCGTTAAAGATTATTGGTACAATTTTTATTCTGTAGCTTGATAGCACGTGACTCTACATACGGGATGTAATCGTGATCTATTAGCCAATAAGCTTATACCAGCTGATTTTCAAGTTACAATTTTGAGTATTCTGCGCTGGCACATTGCAAACGTTGTATAGGAGTTTTTGATAAAGATAATCATAACTAAGTATGATCGACAAAGCACACTTGTCATCCAACATAACCATTTTGAGACAGACATTTTCATAAAAAAGTTGAAGGTCATATAGACAAAACATGTGGAAAATTTGGTCAAATGCTGTTATGATTATGTTCGACTCGAAGGGTTGATGAAAAATGTTAAATGTTAAAAAATTTATTTTTTTTTATTAAATTATTCCGCATTTTTTACACACATAAGCTTAAAAAAATGGTATATACCTGACAAATTTTTTCCCATATCTCATCGCAACCGGCTTTTTCTTGAAAACTTAATGCCAAATCAAAATTATCACCTTCAGACCACACAATAAGTGTGTCTTGTTGTTTCTGATAGGCAGTATCAGGTTGTATTTTACTTTCCAATAACAAAGAACCATCTGATTCGGCTCGTACTAACAATGATATTCCTATTTTGAATTAAAAATTATGTTTACAATTAGTAATTAATATTAATAGTTACATTAAAAGAATGAAAAGAAAAAATGAACTTTACCTTTAAGGCGATCTACGTAATTAGATGACACATGCCCCGTACCACGATCATCCCATTGCCGTTCCGCGTTGAGCGCATATAATTTAACACGCCGGCGGGTATCTGTTGTCATTTTTAGATTTTTAGATTTGTTTAAGTAAGTCTTGTAACAATTTTTTTTTATTGTTTTGCTTTAATTTTTGATTATATTACACAATTTAAATTTTTATATTTTCTACGTATAAGTTTACAATTTTTTTTTTCAACACTTTTAACTTGTCTTAACTAAGGAGGTTATGTTGTTTGGGATGTAATTTTAATATCTTCGAATTTCCAATTCGAAGTTGTTAGAAAAATTTCCTATAAAAGTTCTAAATAAGAACATGCCATGTCATTCCAATGCGTCTGTAAAAGAAATAATAAACATTATTAAGAATGTAAAATTAAAAAAAAAAATTAGACTCAATATTTATATGTATTACAATTCATAACAATATTTATACATAATTCAACTCAATATTTTTTTAATAATTTATTTCAAACATATAAAAATCCTTATGACACATTATAAACAATGACTTTGATGGGACTTTTTTAACTTAATAGAGAATTTCACAATATTATTATTGTTGCTATGTTATTTTAAAATTATATCGTAGACGTAATACACTTCTCTTTAGTCTTCTCAGAAACTAAATGCTTCCTTCATTACTGAATGCTTAGGAAAAATAAACAAAACGGTTTATTTACAAATAAAAATCTAAGCAGAAAATATTTTTGCAAATGCATGCTATATTATTACTGCGTTTATATTAATAAAGAAAACTTATCATGAATCAAGGCGCAAACTAAATAAAAAAAACTACAAATATAAAGATATAAAAAAATAAAAAAATTAAAGATTTATACCAACCGACCTCACACACAATAAAAATAAATAAATAAATAAATAAATAAATGAAATTAAATATGTATAATTATTATTCTCCTCAACGAACGTCACCATTCTCGACCTCAATGAATGAAGAAACCAAGCGGAAAGCGATAAACCTGAAAGACAATGCAAAACAAACAAACAAAGAAGAATAGTATTTTGTAGGAAAGTTGTAAAATAAATGCCAAAACACAAAATAGCAAAAACAAAAACAAAAACGTGTGGACTCTAGGTTGCCCGCTATAAACATTGCGCATGAACACAAAGTGACTAAACTAAATTAACGAATTAAAATCTAAAAGAAAATGCAACAAAATAAAAAAAAATAAAACAAGAAAAACAGTATTGAAAATAAATATATTGCCAATATACGAATGATGTATAAATACGGGATAAAAAAATAAAAAAAACAAAACTTTTTTTTTTAGATAAAACTTGTTTGACCGGCATTTCGGATTTTACATGTATGGCTGGGCTGGCTTACAAAATAATATACGAGCAATTTTAAAGGCGGCGGGGGATGAGCAAAGTTTTCACGATTCGTAATGTCTGACGTAGCACGTTTGTCGCATACTTTGACAACAAATTTTAACTTGATGAAAATCAAAATAAACGTGCCGCCACATTTTGCATTTATGTGGTTATCGAAGAAGAAACGAGGAGAGCTAAACATAGTTCTGGGAATTCTTCGTCAATAAAAAATTAATAATTTCTATACGTTTTATTTATTATTTCATGTTGATAATACTTTTGTAGTTTCTTAATCAATTATTTTATTTATTAATATACATAAAATAACAACGAGTATACAAGATAACAGCTTAGATTGCGTATTATCGACACGAACCCACCACTGTACTGTACTAGCCCCACTAGTGGTAGTCATTGAATGTTTAAAATGAAAATATTTCATTCATGTAACAATTATCAGTTTCTGATAGGATTTCTATAGAAATAATTAAATTGTTAAAATATTAAAAATTTGATTGCAAAATGATTATATAAATATTAATTTAATATTGAAATATTTTTAATTGCTACCGCTAAACTAGTGGTAACTACCACTAAAAATACCTTCACCTCAAAGTGGGCTCCGACTTTTTTATGTTTCAATGAAATACAAAAACATAAAAAATCTTTGTAGACAAATGTAAAAATAATTATTATATTATATTTTTTATAAAAATATTATTATATTATATTTTTTATAAAAATATTATTTATATTATATTTTTTATAAAAATATTATTATATTATATTTTTTATAAAAATATTATTATATTATATTTTTTATAAAAATATTATTATATTATATTTTTTATAAAAATATTATTATATTATATTTTTTATATTATTTTATAATTTTTTAATATTATTTAATATTAAATAATATTTTTGGTATATTGCTTATAGTATATAGACGACCAAATAACTTTTTTTTAACAATATTACTATTGTTATTATACCTTGTGATCAAAATAGAACTTTAATTTTTAATTTTTGAATTCTCGCGCTTATCCAATCGGTAAATTTTTTTTATTTTTACGCTGGCAACACTATTATACACATTATGTCAAAGTTTAACGCATATCGTACGATTAGTTTTTGTTTGGCGTCTATACAAAGAAGTCGAAGAATTTTCGTGTGGTGACTTTTACCTTATGGCCTCTCTGGTCTCAAAACGCAATCCTCGTAATGGCAATCTGAGTCGGAGGAAGAGGAAAAAGTCACACGGGGCCATATCTGGAGAGTACGGTGCTTGGTTGATGATATGGTGGAGTTTTTGGCCAAAAACTGCGGTTTTTTTTTTTTAATGAAATTAAGCTTTTTTGCCAGCAACCGAGAAGCGACGCGTTTCAAACCCAAAACATCAGTTAAAATGTGTTCGGCCGATCCATATGAGATGCCCAACAACACTGCAATCTCTCTAATCGGTTCACAACAATTTTCCAACACGATCTGCTTCGCCGATTCAATGTTTTCTTCAGTAACAGAAGTTGTTGGGCGGCCAGGAATCTCATCATGATACAAGTTTGTATAACCGTTTTTGAACCTTTTAAACCATTGGTTACTCGTGGTTGCGACACACAAAAATCACCAAAGACCTTTTTTAACATTTTTTAACAGTTTCGGCACACTTCAATCAATTTGCAACACAAAATTTGATGCACGCACGTCGTTCTAATTTTTGATCCATTATAAAAAAAACTTTGATAAACTTTAACAGAATGTGTATAATAGTGTAGAGCCAGCGTGAAAATAAAAAAAATTTACCAATTGGATAAGCGCGGGAATTCAAAAATAAGCCTCCCGTTCTTTTTTGATCAGAAGGTAAGTGTCAGGAGCGTAAAGGTAAAAGTTACGCTTTGTTATAGTGTTTTTTTAACACTTGAGGACAATAATATACTGTTTCTAGTAGTCTTCTTGATCTGACGTGTAAGCAAAATTTTTATTCGTGGTATCACAACAGGTCATTATTTGTGCTCAAATGTGGCTTGGTATGTAAGCTCACCATTCCAACTTAAGCTAACAAACGTGTACTGATAGTCCTCCACACAGATGTAGTATCATCTGTCGAGACTATGGTTCTTAATAGGTCCCTGCCTAACATCTTCCGGAAAAAATGACGCCTTCCACGTGCACCAAGAATAGTACTAGCTTAACTGAGATCAGAATATCATCAGCATTAGTACCTGTATCTTCCATTGGAGCGCATACGGCCTCAATGAGATGAATATATAGCTATATGCTAAACAGAAATTTGTCACGAATAAATTCAACAATTCCCAATATGTGCCCCCACCATCTCCAGCTCAACACAAATTAAATGCAGCTTTTGATAGTTCAAAATAGTGCACTTACATTCTAATATACAAGAATAATTAAACCAAAAATATTTTAATAGATATTTGCAGGTGTATGAAATAGCAGTGATCTATTCTGTAATATATCTCAGTAGATTAGGTACTGTTTATATTTTCTCATAAGCATTAGAAGGTATTTGAAGTTCAAAAGTATTTAAGAAGTAGTGTTTTTATTATGACAATGTAAAGGATTTTCAATATTTTGACAAGTTTATTTTTGTAGGGATCCGCAGTAAAAATTAGACAACCATTTCTGACGTACCAATTTATTATATTTCAGTCAACTCAGTGGATTCTTTATCTATGAAATTTAATGATATCAAGTTTAAGTATCTAACATGAGTCATTGAATAAGCTAAGTATTTTTCTAGGCTGTTTCACAAAAAACATTACACGAGCAGAGTTAACCAGAAAAAGTGAGGATACCATTTCCAAAAGAGATACGTAAAAGAAATTTTAAAAGAATAAAATGCTAAAAAACTATACTATGATCGTAAAAGAACAGATAATCTACCGCTCATAAAGTCGCGATAGAGCATTTATAGAATGTAATGAAAAAAGTTTTGGCAGGTTAAGGTTCTAACAATAAAACTTAGTTGCAAAACGACACTTACAAGTTTATAGTTTCCATGCACAGAAGATTAGATGTGATAGTCTAAGAGAAAGGAATGTCAGCCCATTATTAAAAACACGCAAAAGTTTGATTTTTGAAATGATACGTGTGTCATTATTTTCTTTACAAAAAAGAGAGTGTAATTTCAAATAGACATGTTTTACCACTGGACTTTAAAGTTCGACTTTAAGATCCAAATGTCTATTGAATTGACTTTAAAACTTTGGAGTTCCGTTGTTAAAGCTTCTGTAACCAACTATGTCTTACATTGATCATTGGTATGTTGATTTTCTTCTTTTTTCTGATGTCTTTACTGTTATATTGTTCAGTAATGTTGTTAATTCAAAATTTTGTTTAACTTTTCCTGGTTTATGTTTGGGTTTTTTTTCCAATGCAGGTCTGCATAATTAAGGTTAACAGTTTTCTATTTCTATTATTTTATAGCGGGACAGTTTCAAATCGCAGCGTATATCGCTTTGATTTTAAAGATTCGAGATTCTAATAAAGAAAGTTGCAGAGTTTCGGGATGCAACATATCAAAAAGCAGATCTATCCAACTTAAATCGGAATCAAATCAACTCAAGTATCCAATCGCAAATTTTAGACTGAAATAACATATTTCCCTATCGAAGTATATAGGTCTCCTCCACAGTATTTAGAATTCATTGAAAACTTCGTTGAAAATTTTCGAAAAACGAGACGATTGAGTTTTCTTTGAAGACCATGTTAGTTATAGAAAGTTTGATTGTGTAATAACAGACCCTTCCGAAAAGGAACGTATGATCAGGTTATACATGATGCATATAATGGATATTGAGATATACAATACACACCTCACCTAAAACACAACTTAAATTATCTGTGATATATAAAGGTGTAATACAAACTGTAACGGTGAATAAAAAAAACCGTTGTAACTAAAATTAAATATATTTAGGCCGTGTGCAAGTTCGAGTAAATTGATGGTAAATTGAGGGAAATAATAAATTATGTCGGTATGGCAGCGAATGTTGGTGTTTATCAGAATTTCGAGTAGGGTAAATTAGATAAAAATTAAATAAATTAGGTACTACCATTGTGAAAATTTTATAAAATGTTAAATAAATAAATAAATTCGAAAACTTTTAACTAAAAATAATAAATAAATAAATATTTACATAAGTGCAGTGCAAAAAATCCCTAGGAAATTTCAGTTTACTTTACTTCAATTTACTCGAACTCGCACACGGCCATAAAAATATATTTTTGTTTTTAATAAGAACCCAGCGACGCTCATAAGTCTGAAGAAATATATACATATGATTCATTCGTCAAACCTTTTACAACGCAATATCTATTGAGTTTAAAGCCATCCATGTTGTAAGTGATGTTGTATAATTTTAAAAACAGATTTTGGTTGATAAGAAATTTAATAAATATGGTTTAACATGAACATTACATTAATACTTTATGTTATATATGTATATTGTATTGGCCAAAAATATTTAAATCATTAATACTTTAGGTTTTATTTAAAAGACTTCATTTTCTTCTATATCAATTCAACGACAATCATTTTTTTTTTATTTTGGTACAGTTGGAAATTTAAGTTCCAATCAGAAAAGAAGGTTTATGTTTAGATAAATTCATTTCTTTGGAACCCCCATCTCATACAAGCACAATATGGACTTTAAACTGAATTCTCCAGCCAACCAACGGGCGATAGCTTAACTTGAACAAAAACCAAAAACATTTGAAGATCAAGTGATATAATTTAGTTTATTCCACAGTTTTTTTTATGTGCCAACCATTAAGAAAGCAAAAAAAAAAAAACAAACAAAAAAAAAAGACGTGCAGTGAAAAATATATTGTTGACAAAAACATTTAGCAAACAAATAGAAAGAAAGTAGAATACGAGGCGATACAAAATTTGCAAAACAGCTATGGAGTGCGGGAAAGTGCGGTTGGAGACTGTAACAACAATGACGATGATGTGAGGTGTGTGTATGACAATGAATGAATTTAGTTGTAGCTTTTTGTAAGTAAGCAAAGTGTACACATTTTGTTGAAATGTTTGTATGTAGGAATGAATATATGAATCGCGTCGTCTGCTGCGTAGAATTATTTTTATTTTTGCTTATATTGAGTACACTCATTAACAGAAAACATTTATATATGCGTATGAGTGTATGTGTGTGTGTGTGTTTGACTACATTTGAGATTTGCGCTTAACATGTTTCGTCATGTCAAAAATTAGCAAAACAAATGACGACTTTGGCATGAAAAAATGCAAAAATTTAGGATAAGCTATTGGAATCAAAAAACTCATTGCCTGCATTTCCATTATTTACTTTAAAATTATATAAATTAAATTATTTCTTTTGGTTTTCTTTAATTTTTAAACAGTCATATTGCAATCTCAAACGGTTTACATTTTTGTATATTTAATACATTTAATTGTTTATATGCTTGCATTTTTATTTTCAAGCAGACACTTTGGTGTCTAAAGCGGTACTGACCTTTGCCTAATTGAAATTTGTTTATTATCGGCGTTACCGAAAAAATTTTAGAAACCAACAAGTTAAAATGCATGCTTAAAAATATGTATACAATGTCTCAATAGTAGGCCATAGATATACTTTTAAAAAAAAAACTTTAGCTCCTATCATTAATACACAGATTTCATCACATTCATATCATTTTATTTTTATAATTTATAGAAAAAATTTATGAAATCTGTTTATTGTCAAAAAAATCGGGTATTTATTTGATTAAATCAAATACATTAAGTAAATTAAATTTGCAAAGTTTTGAAAAGAAATTGCAAACAGTAATTAAAAAAATTATAGATACACACACGCCATAAACAAAATTCACCACATAACTGAAGCGGTGACGAGAAATTCAACATATTACGCGACACAAAGTGCAAAAACAAAAACAAAGCATTCCATGGTAAAGGTGAATATATTATATTGAAGCAATGTAAATGAATGCTCAACATGGCAAACGTTTTTATATCGAATAAGAAAACAATTAATAATAAATTGGTTACAAATAGCCAAAATATTTTATAAATTATCTAACTATATATTCACGCACTCAATTTAGTAAGCACAGCATAGGTGTTTAATTTATAAACAGCAGACATACATAACTATAGAATCAATATATTAAAAAATGCCGAATATATAAAAATTTCCATAACAAATTCTCATTAAAAATGCACTCATATATTTAAGTTCACTAGTACACAACTTATATTATTTTAATATAAAATAAATTATTACTTTTATTCATATTTATAAAGCACCGTAACAAAAAAATTTTTTTGCTGTTGTAATCCACCACTGCTCTTTAATTTCTGAATTCGGTTTTTTCTTTAATTAATTATGGCTTTTTCTTACGTCGTGCGCCAAGATTTATTACTTCTTTTATAAATAAACTTTAACTTTACGTTTACGCATTTTTTTCCACTAAATTATATTCTTATTAAATTCTAATGGTGAAACTATTTATTTTAATTAAAAATCGACAACTTTTCACTTCACCGTATTCAACCGAATGCCTTCTATTTCGTTAACTAGTAACAACAGCGGGCAGAGAATGTGAGAAATTCGTCATTCGAAATCGCAGCCGCCATATTGGAAAACTGAAAAGCAATGAACAAATGAACATGCACATTCATTTCGTTGACAGATATTTCGCACTTGTAAATAAATTCGAATTTGTTGGAGTTGTGTTTTCACAAATTATTATTGTTTACATATAAAATTGCATGAACGTCAAATGCAACAAAATAAACACTATAGAAATAAGTAGATATATTTTAAAATGGTAGGATGCCAATTTCTAAATATAATAGAGTCTTCTGAAAATAAAAATATGAACTTTATATTTATTTATGCGCAATCAATCACACGTCTTAAAGCCATTAAACATAAAAATTGAACACTTGCGTCTTCGATAATTACGGTGCACTTATTTCATGCATTTGTGTACATAATTCATTGAAACTTTAATACTTACAATAAAAATGTACTTACTTCTATCAAAACACATTGAAATAAACAAATAATACGTATTTTGATTATGCAATAAAGAAATTTGACCAAAACATTAGGAAAGCAAATCTAACTAGGAAATGTAATAAAAAAAACTATGAAGCATAATGTCAAAATTGTCTTATGTCAAAGTAAGAAGCGATTTTAACAAATAAAACAGCTGCTGCAAATATAATTTCTCTTAAAGATACATAAATTTTTACTTTAACAGTATTTTATTTTTTAATATGTTTTATTGGTAAATAATGAAATTATAAAAATGGCAAACGATTTAATATATAAGTATCAGAGTATTAAACAGAAATATACGGGTTCCAAAGAAGCAGATCTAGAATTGAACATCGAATGCTACAGCAGAGATTCAATTCAAGTGCAACTAACAAATCTAAACTATAACAAACAAAAACAAAATAAAATATGTAATATACTACTTACACTTTGCTTTTTAAGTACTTATACTACATTTAGATTTATATACTTTACAAAAAATCTTCAATTGTTTTGCGATCGTGAATGGCTGGCGTTTACCGCAGTTTTGACATATCTTATGTATGTTGCTAAATCAATGTCAGACATAATAAAGAAAGGTACAAAACTCATCCAATTTCTGCTAAATATTTACTATTTTAAATTATCATATAGAAAAACTATTGATATGTAATAATTTTGCATTGCAATTGGAAACAGAACGATGCTTTTCACGCAAATCCAATAGATTTATTTCTGCCTCAGATATTCATGATGTAGTCATAAACGAAGTCATTCAAGATGTAAGTTGAAAACAAAATTTGTTATACATAAATAATGTATATATAACTTTTTTTAGATTCTAATGTTAAGAACAAAAAACGTCTTTTAATAAACCCAATTATTTTAATAATTAATTCAAGCAAATTTTTATACAGTTTTCTTACAGAACTTACGACCATCGGTGGAATGCTTGGAGATGATTTATAATAATTTGAAAAAAATTTTTATAAACTCTGAAAATTCATGATAATTAATATTTCTACAATACAATTAAATGGCAATTGCCAAAATACAAAATATTTTAACATAAAATAAAATCATTTATATTAATTGTAGACACTCTAGCGTTGCTTTAAAATCATTTATAACTTCGTCATCCTAGAACAAAATAAAAATATGAATATTGTATATATATATATCAATCAATGATTCTTACTAACATTTCTCCTCGGTTCGGTAATTTCTAACTTAATCTGCGGTAAAGTTTTAGGATCTGGTAAGATAATTTCTGCTTGTGGAACACTCATTTCAACATTTAGCTAAAAATATTTTGTTAAAATATTATTATTTGAAAATTATCAACACATATATTACCAAATTTTTAATCTCTCTTTTATAAGTTAACTTAACAATTTTTTTAATATAACTTTGAGAGCGCAACACATTTACAGAATCTTGTAATGGCCGCAAGCGAAATATTTGTTGCAATTTTTCATCTGAAATGTATGGTTTTATGTATATATTATGTATAAGTACTTGAAAAATACTTACCCATTTAATAGTTTTTAAAAAATTAATTTAAATTTTAAATAGATGAATGCTTATTTAAATATACGAATATATAAGATATTAAATATTATTTATGTACGTTTTCCAAATTTCGAATATTTTGACGTTTTCATTAGCAGTCGTTTAGGGTTACCAGGACTAAAATTTTAAATAAACAATACGTTTATACGAAGTGGTTTTAAAGCATATTAAAAATGCATGTATTATATCTTGTAAATATGTTTTCAAATACATATTATGACCGTGTGCGAATTCGAGTAAATTAAGGTAAAGTAAAATGAAATTTCCTAGGGATATTTTGCATTGCACTTATGTAAATATTTATTTATTTATATATTACACTTATTTATTATTTTTGGTTTAGAGTTTTCAAATTTATTTACGTACAACAAACGATTTGAAGGTTTTTAAAATATTTCAATATAACTGTCAACGCAACAATTGTCAAACCAAATTTGTCAAACTGTTTTAATAAGTTTTATATTAAATTTGATATAAATACGCACATTGAAAGCAAACAGTGTTGAACATTACTTGTGTTTTATTAAATTTGAAAATAAAATTGAATTCTTTTTTGTTTGTTTGTGATTTTATTAATATAAATTTTAATATTTCTAACATCACTGCCTATTGTACAATGTCATTTTGTAAGTTTTTTAAAACAAATTTAGCAATGAATAATAGCATTGACAGACGGGAGCTACATTATCATTATGGGGCTAAATTATAATTTATTTGCTCATTTAGCAGTTGTTAATGATCATTTATGGTCTTTAAATGACCGAATTTAACCCAATTTATTTGTAATTTAGGTTTTTAGAAATGGTAATGCTGCATATGCAAGTGAAACGAAATAAAAAATGGAACAAATTTCAAGCGGTTCTTTGGTTATCAAAGTGTAAACAATACAGATTTGAGAACAATGTTCTTGCTATGAATTTAGTTTTCATAGTAAAAAATTAATTTCAAAAGTTTACTTTCAATAATAACATTTTTAGTTTCAAATTGAACGAACGGTGTCTTTTTTTCCAAATTAAAGCGAATTTATTTTGAATATAAAATTCTCTCCCTTTTTCAATAACAAAAAAAAATATGATGCAGCAACTTCTTAATGATAATTTATACTGTCTAATGATAATTTAGCGCGCTCGTCTCTCAGTGCTATAATATATCCAAACAGCATTAAGTAAACACCTTGAAGCACTTTATTATGTTTAACATAAACGAACAAAAAATTTTTCAATATGTGAAAAAGAACAAAAGTGCAATATTTAATTATTCCATAATGTTTCATATATTTTGTTAACTCCTTTAATTTCATTTTCGCGGTAAT